GCTACATTAATTCTCTTTCCAAAAAGCCTATATTTATCAAAATCGGTTAACAAATGTGGAAATTATAGGCGAAAAACAAAATGGGACATATGTGTCCCAAAGGTCGTCAAAGGGTTAACAAAAACAGAATAAAATTAGCATACAACCTGGTGATACATTCATATACATAACATAAGCTTGAGAAGACATAACTAGGCTATCTCATAAATAGCATAGGTCTAGACGTTCAATCGCTAGAATTGTTTGTTTTAGTTCGTACTAAATGATAAAGTCCTAAGATATATCCGTCATTCGTCGTTACATTGTAGCGCTCAATCTTGATGCCCTCTTTATTCACCCTATTTATCTATTCATCAAGCTATAAAAACGAAGATATTTTGAATTAATTGATCACGATTTTTCTGCTGAAAAACCCGAAACTATCATTATGAAATATCTCATTTTTTACAGGACTCTCACCATCAAATCGCGTTTTGCAAAAGAAAACAGCGCCAATAAAAAAAATCGAAATCGATAAATACGACATATTTTCATTGGCCTGTAATACTTCACATTACCCACCAAACTGACATATGTGAACAGAAATCTAAACGAACACGTTTCGAATTTAACTTTTTTGCGAGTATTCTATTTGAAAACAAATGTAAAAATAATTATAGCTCATCATAATGATAAAATACATGACGTTTATATTTGCATTAAAAAGCAATCAAATCCATTGTTTAAAAGTGTCAAAAAGTGTCCAAAATTTATTTTTCTCAGAATTCGGTTTTCACGCACATTTTCGTTTATTATTCAACAACCGCGCTATGCAGCTAAATATTGAAGAAGACAAAAAATATAGGGAACAGTAATTTGAAGTAATGCGACAGGCGTTTACATATTACTCGCCAGCAGCTTTATATGCTAGAGTGTAAAAGCTGAGAGAAAATCCGTTATTATTATAATGGATTGTCAGATGAAGTTATTCATGAGTCTCATCTATTTCACGAGGTACTGGAACAATGACTGTTTCTTAGGTGAGTATATAGTTTGGACTAATAAATAGTGGCTAATAAGATACTTACTACTTATTGCTAGTAGCTTCTAATAAGTAGTAATATATCTAGTGAGTATAGTTATTAGAATGTTATTAGTCAAACGAGTAGTAAGGTGTATGGCATCTGAGAATCCATGGATCAGTCGAAATTCCACCAGATTTGTATTCTAGGCCATCAAACCAACCGGGTGTTAACATTCCCTTCAGGGAGTGAAGAAAAGTTTCATACAAAAATCATGTCAAATTTTGCAAGACACATTTTTTTAACATTTTTTCGTCTGATAAAAATTGACATGTTTTTTACATGAAGTTTTTTTTGCGATTTTTTTTGCACCAAAAGTAATAAGATACTTATTACAATCTTATTACTGTAATAAGTAATATGTCATAAGTTACTTATTACTTTACTTCTATAAGTGGTAGTCGGAAGGAGCAAGGTCTGGGCTATAAGGCGGGTGAGGCAAAATTTCCCATCCGCTATTTTCCAAGTAGGTTTTGACCGATGCTTCAATATTTGGCCGAGCATTGTCATGGTGGAAAATCAATGACTCGTGTCTGGTCTCCCATTCTGGCCGTTTTTCCTTCAAAACTCGCTTCAAACGTATCAATTGTGTACGGTAGAGAGGTCCTTTGATTGTTTGACCACTTGGAAGCAACTCCCAGTACACCACTCCCTTCTGGTCCCACCAAATAGAGAGCCTTACCTTCGAAACGTGAATATTTCGCTTTGGCGTCGATTTGGCTGGTTGGCCGCGCTTGACATACGATTTTTTGCGCTTTGGATTATCGTAGTAGATCCACTTTTCATCGCCAGTCACAATACGATTTTGTGCCGTTCCAGCAACATTTCAGACATGCAAAATCGTCTTTCGACGTGTCTTGGCTCCAATTCGTGTGGCACCCAATTTCCTTGCTTTTGGATGAATCCCAATGCTTCCAATCGTTTCGAAATGGCTGGTTGCGTGACTCCCAATGATTCCGCGAGCTCTTCTTGCGTTTGACGTGGATCTTCATCCAGCAATGCCTCCAAATCGGCGTCCTCGAAAATTTGTCGATGAAAATTCACAAATCTAACGATGCAGTGTTGTTGACAGATGCCCAAGCTTACCGTATAACGTTTTAGAGCTGATATTTTTCACCAGCACTTACCGCTGGAGCCATTTGTTGGAAAACGGCGGAAGCAAAGTTATACACCAATAGAATAAAAGAAAAAACAGAAAAAAATGATTTTTCCGCCATTTGGGTGCTTGGCAGTGGAAAAGAAATGCGATATTAACACCCAATGTTAACCCTCTAGTTCGTAAGACCGCCAAAAGGCGGGGTGCACAAAATGGCCCATAATTTGCGTACCATGTTATAGATGGTCGAAAATATGGTAGCGTTGCATTGGATAGGCCTTTAGGTTCAAATTGATATATAAATTTTATTATATATGTCAAGCGGGGGCCGTGGTATGGGCCCTCAAAATGAAATTTTGTCCAATTTTGAGAAAAAATCATTTTCTGAATTCGCATTTTTTTCGGGTAAGCTTTAAATACTTTAAAACCCATTTTCAGTGGTCGTTGATTTTTTTGCAGGTAAATTAGGAGGTATTCATTTGATTTTGATCATTATTGCATCATTTTTATATTTGGTTACAATTTGGGGGCTCAATATAGCGGGCCCGCCAAAAGGCGGTCTTGCGAGTACAGGAAAGAAAAAATTCACACTTCGCAAGACCGCCTTTTGGCGGTTTTCATAATATTTCTTCATTCCGAATTGAGATATGTAGATCAAAAGTACCACTTCTAACATACCGTTGGAAAGGGTACAACCGAGACTATCTTCTGGGAAATTTTCATTAAATTCCAGTATAGGGTTGCCCAGAAATAGGTCTAGAAAATTGAGTCTTTCTCAGTTTTCCTCATTCTAACTTCAAATAGGTACACTATAGGTACCTTTCACAAGATGAATTGCTATATTGCCGCTGGAAGAAGGATAACTAGGACTATAATCAGGGAGATTTTCAATACAATTAAGCATAGGGTTGCTAGAGAATAGGTTCTGAACTGTGAATTCTTCCCATTTCTTTTCATTCTTAATTCAAATATGAAATGTTGGCCTAAATGTTATATACCAGGGGAGATAGGATACTCAGAGCTATGATCTGGTAAAGTTTTATTGTTATGTTGTCTAGAAGTTGAAATTACATTGAAAACAGGAAAAATACAAAAATATCCTCTTTAGTGAGAACTGTAGTTAGCGCGCAAGACCGCCTTTTGGCGGGGTGTAATTTTCCGAGTTTTCCAGCTAAAAGAAAACTGTATCGAGCTTTTCATTATTTTTTTGTCATTTTTGGCTCAAAATTAGCCTAGAATAAAATTCCTAGCTCTGTAAAAAAATGGCGCAGTAAAGGGTTAATATCGATATTGACTTCCGATGTTAATAATTACACTGTAGTAACGAAAAAATGTACGGTTCAACACATGAAGGTCAGATTTTAGTTACTGGCAAGCCCAGATAAACCTCATATTTCGTTTTGATAAGTTGGTGGATTCAGTAGAAAAAAAATATTTTTCAAAAAAAAATTTCAGTGGTGTTAGAAAAATGGCCGAAAATGGCCTCTTACGATGTTTTTGTCTTCGACAACTACCATTTTTTCGTCGAAAAAATATGGGTCCCTGACCACTTGAACACCAATTTTCCTACAAATTTGGTCAAAAATTGACATTTCTTCATAAAACTATCGATCGATTGAAAGATTATTACAAAATCACGTTTATGGCATAGAAAACCATCGTACAGTGACCTACTATGGGTCTATATCCAGTAATCCACCCAATTTTTGACGTAGAATCGATTTGTAATATCAACATACACATGTTTATATGATTTTAGTGTCGAAAATTGCGATTGTTTCAAAACAAATGAGCGAATGACGCTGATGAGCTTCGGTTCCATGGCTAAATCATCCCATGGAGTTTTTTTAGCTCAATCTTTTATGACATACTACCGGGGCCCTGTAACAATACGCGTAAAAATTCACCGCTTGACACACATTAGATTGGGAATTTCTGTCTTTGCCCAACCTTATCTACAGTTTCTGCTGAAAATTGGCTGGAAAAATTATTTTGATCGAAATGTTGCGATCTGAAATGGCTTCCGAAAACACTGTCATGAAAATCTTGATATAGGGCTTGCCATGGGTTTTTATATGGTACCCATATGCTTTCTTCGGGCCAAATCTATTTTTTTGAGGTATATTTTTCGAAACTGGCCGGACTTTTGGGATGAGGGACAACTTTCTTTTTGGATCAGTCTACATCACATGTATGCACGTTTTACACTTGATCGTTGTAGGTGGCATCTTTACGAAGAAAATTAGGTGCCTCTACATGGGTATTGATGGGCTAATTTGAGTAGAATCCACAAAGAAGTGAGATCAGTAAAGTTGGAGACGAAAACAGATTTGGACGTTTTTATATTTTTATTTTCAAAACCGGCCAAAAAAATGAGAAAATCGACCAATTTTTTTTCCATTTTTGTAATATTTTTGGGACGATTTTATAAAAGTTTTGGACGGATTTTTCATTTTTTCGGACGAAATTTCAATTATCCACTAGGAATTGGATATTTCTCTCCAATTTTCGTAAAAAGATTGAGAGTAGAGTATGTTTTTTCTTCAATTTATATATTTGAAAAGGTGAATATTTTTTCCGATGATTCTGTTGGCATCAAAGTAGTGTATGTTTAGAGGTTGTCGTGCTTTCCATGGTTTTCGCGGAATTGATTAGAGATAATGATTTGGTTTCTTCGGCAAAATTTTAGTACTCGAAGTCTTTTATAACTTCGCTGAATACCGAATCTATTCTCTTTCATCAGTTCCGCGAAAACCATGAAAAACCGTAACGATATATTATTATATGGAGGCCAACTTTAGTTACAAGTAAATAAGACATGGGATCGGAAGACAATGAAAAGATGTTACAAAAAGGTATAAAATAGAATAATTTGTGGTGTAAAATGCTATTTATTTGCTACTTTTTTCAATTAAAATCATTTGTGCATTTGTGGCGAAAAATCAAATTGTTCATCATCAATTGTTAAGCATCGTTTCTCACTGTATTGATCACACGACTTTGCTAATCGATTCGACACTTTCTTACTTTTATGTGGAACAGTTGCATTCGTTTTAATCTTGTCTGTTGATACTTTTTTCGATTTCGAACATTTTTTAATTTCATCCTTATCAATCAATGTTTCACTAAATGAATCATCAATAACAAAACTGTTGCTCCGAACAAGAGATTCTTCAATTTCATCCGAATGATAATTAGATTTGTATTCAATTTGTTGACTGTTGAACTGATTCCATTTTTGTGCACTAAAGTATTTCCATCCAGTTAGCATTAACATTGATAAGACGCATATCAATACTATGGTAGATATCCATCCAATTTTCCCATTGGAAATTCGTTGATCGGAATGTTTTGAATACATGAGAATTGCTTTCGATGTTGCATCAGTTGATGTTACAAATTTGGGGTTAGTGTGGCTCGGTGTCATCCATGCGGCTGTCCGGGTTTCTTTCTGCATTACAAAATGGTTGATTGCTTGAATACTGGCCGAAATCGTTCTGCTCGGTACTAAAGTGGTGATTTTCGATACAGTCTTCGATGTGGTTCTATGTCCAATGGTCGACTTTGGCACTTGGGTCGGGCTGAATATCTTCTTTGAGGATACTGTTGTGAGTGTCGTTTTTTTTACCGGTTTCGTGGTGATTTCATCTATTTTTGATTGCGTTACGGTGGTATTCTGTAAGATTGTCGTAGTATTTTGCATGTTAAGTGTCTTAGTTTTAGTCCATAGTGGAATCGTACTTAAAGTGTTTACAACTTGTTTTGCTCTTGTGACTGTGCTTTCGATTGTCGTTTTCAAAGTTGTTGAAGCTGTGAAAGTTGACGAAGTTGTCGAAGTTGATGAAGTCGAAGAAGTGGATCTTTCGGTAGTCGACGTTGTTGAGCTCGACTTAGTGGTAGCCACTGCGGGTTTTTGTGTTGTTGATTTAATGATAGTTCGTACAGGTGTTGTTACTTCCAGTTCGATTGTAGTGAATCCCATCGAACTGTCATCAAATGTGCTGATTGTAGTATCTGAATCAGGTGGCTGGCTTATACTTTCAATACACGTGGCCACATAGTCCCAACAGCATGTTGATGTGTCTAAACAATTCTGATGGCAATCACATTTTTCAATGAGATGACCATCTTGGTGGAATGTATCGGCGCTGTTTCCACGCACTGAATTTGTTTCTAAGCATCGATTTGCACAAGACTGCATATCGTAGACTCCATCAGATTCTGTAGTCGTAATTTCAGGATTCAAGTACTTCAAACACTCGCTATCTTTCATAAGTGATACGTCGTCAATAGCTATATCACTGATGAGACCTCTACTTCCGGTTGCTTCGAATACGATCTGAAAGTCTGCTTTGGTCGGTTCGATCATAAAAACTGCTTCATTCCATTGGTTTCCTTGCGAATTTTCTTTTTCAAACAAGATATTCCTTTTTTATATCAGAATAAACAAAATATATGCAATAAAAGATTAGTTTAATTTTTGAATTTGAGTATCGCACAAATAAATGTTCTTACTTTGGTTTATCAGCTATTTCGTCCATAGTCTCGTTGATATTTTTTACAATTGCCCGTAGTCGACCCACCTTGTGACCGTACATGTGATAGAAAAAACGAAAACAAGCATTTTCTGAGTCAGTCTGGTTATGGATGGGCGAAAAAATTCTTGATCTCTGAGTTGTGCGTGAATTGGTTGCTTCAGCTATCATATAGTGTCCCTCCAACGGTATTCCTTTCTGTGAAATGAACAGAACAAATCATACTCATTTTTTGACACGATATTTTCCATTTTAAAGATTAGTTAAATACACATATATTGCTCACCGTGTGATCATGCTTTGGCCCATATTCAAGCTTCTCAAATGAATTCCATCCATTTTTTCGTACCCAATGGAAGTCATTCCCATCATCTTGTGTCCATCCACAAATGGAAACGGATTCAAAATCACATATCTTTGAATGTCCAACATCTAAACGACATTCTCCCAATTCTCTATCCCATGTGTTTCCGTTACAGAAGGAAATCGAACTACCAGCAGCCACATACCCCTCTTGACAAAACAACATGCTTTTTTGCTTTTTTTCATCGAGCATAACCAACCCGTTAGATCGCCTCTGCGGATGTGGACAGCCGGTCTCTGAAAGTGCATTGACAAAAAAACTTTTCACTAAAACTTGTCTTGTTCTCTTTTCAATCGGCCAATGGTGTATTACTTATACAGATTGGTATATCCTGTTTCCACCGTCCCGATGCACATATAATGCTCATAGCCCCGTGTATTTCGAAACCATCTGAACAAGAGAATGCCACCATACGACCTCCCCTTTGCAATCGAACAGTTCCATTTTTGATTTTCGGTACCGGACATGTTGACCAACTAGGCGCCCTGGGACGTGGATTTCTTCTTGGTGGTCTCAAACCTCTGAACAAAGAACCTAATCATTTGAAAATTTTGAAGAAAAAGCATTGAATTCCTGCAATTTGAAATTGAAATGGAAAAATTCACGGACGATGCACATAGACAACACTGCATAATATACCTTCACACACAGCAATAACAAGTGCCAATAACACATTGGAAATTAATATCAGTTCAAATAGTGTTTTCATTTTCACCGGGTAATTATACCACTAACATTGAGTAGAAATGTGTCAAAAGGGCCGTTAAAATGGTTAATGATGTATGATGTTCTAGGTGAATATATAATCTGAATCGTAGGCCATCAACTCAACGCAACAGTTACAATCGTTTTGAATGCAAAAAGAAAAAAATATACAATCATACTCATACTCGTTTCCTTGGACGTTCTTATCACAAACAACAGCGGAACTGTTTATCTCAAACGCCAATTCTGCAATACATGGATGTGGCTGTGGATAAAGCTATTGTTTTCTGACACTATTGTTTCTCATTGTGTTCAATGACGTCCAAGAACGGGAATACTTCATTTGTTTATTATTGAAGAACAACTCGTTGCGCTCTGATAACATTTAGTCTGAATTTTCAATGAAAAATTGCCTCAACACTACAAATATGATTGCATTCATTCTTTAGAAATGAATTTTCGTACAGTACAAGCATTCAAAATATAAATAGCTTTGGCTTTCAGTGAATCAGTTTATTATTTATTTTTAATTCATATAACACAATTTCAAATATTTATACATTCTTGTTGTTTTATTTTAGCTGATAAATTTCATTGATTCCACTTCTCTTGGCGAACTTGGTTTTTGCCCATGACGATTGATTTCATTATTTGAAGACCTTTCATTCTAATTTGTTTTAAATTTATAATTTGGTTGATTTATTTTGTTTTTGTATTTCTTTTTCTTTTCTAAATTCTAAAAGAGTAAGACCTTCGGTTTTGCCTCAAAATGGACACATTTTTTCCTCTAAGTGTGAATAGTGTCCTCATTTTTCAAGTAGTGCATTGATTTTCGTCCGACTCGCGGAAATGGGAAAATTAATTGTGCAATTTAAAACATGTCCAATGCGAAGCAAAACCAAAATCATTTATCAAACTCACTCAATGCACTCGTTGAACTTTTAGTTCAACATGGCTGTTGTTTTTGTTGTTGTTGTTGGTTTCTCTCTTCGTCCCACGTCTTTGAACAGAATTTTAATTTCGTCTCTCTCGAAATCCTTTATTATATTTTATGAATAAAAAAGCAATTTTACAGGTTTGAAAAGACATCGGCTTCGATGAATTTCCTTCTGTTTTATTTTAGATTAACTAGTTTGGTATTGGTATGTTAAATTTTTATCAATCAAGTGCTCAAACATTCGGTCATTAGCTGCCTTTGCGGCGAGTTATTTTGATCTCTTTGTTATTTTCATTATTTCAATCATTTTTTCTGTCATTCTGCTTTTCATTCTTTCTTTCTTTCTTTCCTTTTTTCCCTTCTTGAAATGATAAAACGTACGTCTTGAGCTTTTTACAATTTATGTGAATTTTTTTATTGATTTTTATTTTGTTTTAGAAATACACATATAAACAAGCCGGCTGCGACTTGTAATGAAATATGTTTGACCACGTAACGCATACATTATCAATAATCTAATATAAATACTTATGCATTTAATATATTTTTTTAAATATTTTCATCGAATGGCCCACTATGCAATATCCTTCAACAGAATCCTGAATATGATTTCGGCTCCTAGATTTCGTCGCTATGATGGAGTGGTGGTAATGAGTGAAAGGGACAAAAAGAAATGGATGTTGTTTCCGAAATCAAATGTTTATTCTTATTTACTGAGTATTGAGTGAACATGTTGGCCTTGAAAATATCTAGAATTTTTGAATAAATATTTTTTTTTCAATGTTTTTTTTGTGTCCGCGTTCTCTCTCACACACACATAGTTATTTTGGAAAAAGTTTACATGGTTTTTGATGAGAACTTTCTTTACATTGAAGTGCCTCATCTAATTGTTTGCTTGAATTATACTAAAACAAATGCGTATGTTTGGCTATGGAGATACCGAGACTATATATGAACCATTGCGACAAACAAATTCTCTCAGAATATTTCAGTTTCAAAGTGCAACATGAAATTTTTTGTATAGAGTTTATATAACAACAACTCCATATGAAAAAAACGTTATGATGCACTTTAAAACTAAAATATTCTGCGGGAATTTGTTTGTCGCAATGGCTCATATATGGGTGTGCATATATACATATATAACTGCATGGTAGAGTTTGGTAATCATTTAAGATTATTGATAAATACGATCAATTCGCTGCTGATGTTTGTTCGAATATATAATTTTCTTTTATTGACTAACTTTTCTGAAATCAGTTTTGTCGTTATTTTCTTCAGAGAGTATTCTGTCTGTCTATTGAAGTTGATCACACAATTTTAAAACGCTACATTGAATGGAAGAGTTTTGAGTCGCTGTTATCTTTTTTTTCGATGAACATGTTGTTCAAATGCACTCTTCTTAGACACTCATCACAAAAATGGGACTCATCTATATACCGTATGTGGTATACGGCAAAATGCGGAAGTACTTAAGTAAAAATTATAATATTAAACTCAAATGTGAACTGTTAAAACAACCTCTTTTGATTTTATGTTTTGTTTTTAATAAAAAATAAATCGTCCAGAAAATTATTTGTGAGATAACATTGAATCCACAATTAATAAATGGACAGGAAGAAAATCTCTAGCTGATAGATGATATCATTTATGAAGATGCTAAATGGTGTGTCGTTGATACGCTTGCTGCTTTCGCATTACTAATTATGCTAGCAGCACGAGAAGCTGATGATTCGCGTGTAGCTGACGATTTTGGTGGTATAACTGGTTTATTTTTTGGTATCGGCGGTGGCGCACCACGTCCATTATTATTATTTACAGGATTCACATTTGCTTGAAGATTATTATTCTATTGCAAATGAAGAAGAAAGTATTTTATTACATGTACCGAATAAGTTGTGTCTTGTCATCATTACTTACAAATGGTGTAGATGAAATTTGGGTATTTATGTTAGCTGCCATTGCGGCAACTGTAGGGCCGCTTGGAACTGTGGCGATTGGAGTAGTTGCAACGGGAGGCGATTGGTGTTCAGCTGCAGCTGGCGCAGTCTAGAAACAAAAAATGGTCGGTATTTAGTGAAACAGCGATAGTGAGAAAGCTTGAAGGCGAAACAAGTTAGACGCACCTCGTTGGTGTAAACATGGGAATGTCCAGCATCATTGGATGTGTTTGAAGAGGTTATTGTCGTTGGATATTGGGGATGTTGTCGGAGACTCTGTCCGGTTGGTATTGATCTGGCAATACCAGTAGCTGTTTGAACATTGAATTTAAGATTAATGTCATAAAATCATAAATAATGTGGTATAATTATGTCCATACTTGGGCCTGAGACGGGAACACTTGATACTGTAGCTGTTGGCTGCACTACTTTGGTCACACTGCTTATCATTGGACTAGCCGAAGTGCTTGTATTTGCTGTTGCAGCTGTTGATGTTGTAGTGTTAAGTGTTATAGACAGAAGACGGAAAAAAAATCACGATTAAAAAGATGAAACTAACTCACCTAAGCTTTCGTCAAATGAACCCTCTTGTGATGATATATTGCTATTTCGAAGACTACCAATTTTGGCTGGAACTTGAGGTAAGGGTATATTTTTTGGACCTAAACGATGTGGCATCGCCTGCTTCCGTATCATATCATTTTCAGCTTTCAGTTGAGCAATTTCACATTCTTGCTCCTTCCGCCTGTGATAAAATGTGTTAAGACACGCGTTCATAGTAATCATTTTTGAAAATTAGATACAATTTACAATTGATCAGCTTCGAATGGGCATATTATATGAAACGAGAGTACTACTTACCGTTTCTCTTCTTTTGCCAATGTTGAATCGAGCAGTTTCTTCTCAGCAGTGTAGGCTTGCATCTGTTTTTCCAATTCGGCCTCCATGCGCAATGATTTTTTGCTCTCTTCCTCCAGCCCTTCGGCGATAGTATCAACGCGCGCCTTTTCTTCGGATAGTATTTGAGCCAGATCCTCTGATCGCTTGCGCTCTTCAATATACTTTGTGATGATTTTTTTACGTTCGGCCAACAGCAATAAAACTATTAAACGAATACATAAACAACAATAAATGTAAAAACAACCAACTATTCATTAAATAAATAAATAAATAACAAAAAACCTATTTGTTTTTGACGGCCACGTTCTTGTTCCAACGTTTCCTGTGCCTTTTTCAAATCTTTTTCCGCTTTTCGTCTAGCTGCCTTTTCTGTTTCAAGCTCTTGACGTAATCGTGTACGTTCAATTTCCAAGCCATATGTTATATCATCACCTTGCGCTGTGTCGTGTTCGTGTTTGCGTTTCTCTTCTTCGAGTTCACGCATTAAACCAGACTGTCGCTGCTCGGTATCTTTCATCATTGACATTAGTTTGCCATGGATGTTTCGCTGTTGGCGTATCGCATCTTCGAGTATTTCGAGTTGATGGCCGGCAAAATGTCGAATTTCATTTTCCGATTGAGCTTGAACTGCCGCTGCCGACGATTGATGGCTCACATAGCTTCCATTTAGAGCTAACCCATCGCGAAAAAGAGCCGCTTGAGGGTCGTTCAAATTCAGTTGCTTATGTCGCGTGATGTTGATAAAATTTTTCAGTTTTTCCGACTGCAAAACCAAATATATGTATACAAATCTTTTGCCTAACTTCCAGGGGCAAACGAAACCTTGGCCTATTTATCAATCCAAGATGTACATACCTTAAGAGCAGCAATTACTACGTCTCGAGCCTGCAATTCACCTTCCAAGTAGCTCAACAGCTTCAATAGATCGGATTGACTAAGCTGCATTTTGGGACTTTTCTGATGTAAGCAAAAATCAAAATCAAATTAATTCAATGGCAAAAATGAAATGAATTGCAAAAATGGATGGTTTCACGTACTTTTGTCGTATCATTTGCCGCTTTCATAGTTTGGAAATCAATTTGATTAACATTTTGTGGCAGTTCAGCAGCAGCATCATCGTCGCAAATAACATCAGATGCAGCTCCACTCGACTCGTTTAACGGTTGAGATTGCGAAACGTACGATTTTTTATCCATTTTCACTGAATATCATGTCATTTAACAACATAAATTCATCTTTCCAATAAAATTGATTAACTTGTCATCATCTCCCGCAGTAGTTGCTAGGAAAAAAACAAAAACAAAAATAAACGATGTCATTTAATTCAATTTAGGTCTTTTGTTTCATATTCATGGAAAATCTATTCAATATAAAAGTCCGTCAGTCAGAAATTCATGTCACGATTATTTTGGTTAAAAATATCTGTATCGATTGCATTTATCGGAAATTTAATCAAGTCACCAATACAATCCCATTGAATATGTCATTACACAATCGATTTTGCGTCGGAAGTGGATCAAAGATTTTTCTAGAAGGAAAACATAACGAAATAGCGATTGAAAGATTGTTATCAGAATCACACGATTGCCGATCTACCTCAACAAAAAGTGAAATACTTATTGAACGATTAAATGAAGCGAATAAATTATCACCGTTTGTAAATCATTCGATTTTTTTGTCGAAAGAACGTGTGTGTATGTGTGTGTGTGTGATGATGTTCTTAAAAGAATATATTTAACAAATCTCAGAAAATTTTCGACGAGAATCTGTCCGTTTATTGCATTCCACTTGGTATTTGACATAAATCCACTATATCACTTGAAGATTATGTCTTTTAATACACGTTTTCTGTGTTCGTTGAAAATTTACAATAAATGTTGCTCAATTTATCGAGCTCAACACTACCTTTGATAAGTGTTTCACACATTTTCGTGAACTTTTTGACACGGCACATTCATTTTGCATAAATAACATTCGATGACCATGGATTTTAATGCTGGCAAATGGGCCCGGACTTAGGATGAGTGCGTTTCCAACGCACTATCGACATTAAATGAGGTGCGATCAAAACTACGACGACAGTGAGAACGAACATTAAATTGGAAGTAACGATAAGAGAATTATAAGAAAAGTCAATGGAAATGAGCGTTTCATTCGCGTGCAGTGCTCATCGAGAATATATCGGCATGGAGCAGGGAAAAACTCATATGATGGTTAACACTCAACTAATTCATGCACGAAGAAATTTCGCTTCGAAATCAATAAAATAACAGTGTGCGGTTGTTTCGGTACTCTATCGTTGGGCGATACGAGTTTGTATTAGTGTACCCTCTTCGTTGCCGTTGCCGTTGCGAGAATGAGACAACGGCATACAGTTTTTCCATGGAAATATTCCGCACAGTATTTTCTTTTGCGTTGGCTGTATTATCAGTTGACAGTCAGGAAATTTTCTATGTGATGATTCAAGAGAGTAAGCACGAGTATGTATGTGCACTGGTCCTGTGTCAATTCGCATCTTGTATGCCAAACTGAGCGATTTGATTTGTTCAAAGTCACTCACCGAACAATTTGAAACGATAAGTTGGTTGAATAAATTTAAAACTATCCGCATTTTCATATATATATATTCATTGAATGGCTTTTTTATAGCAAATTTCACATGTTCATCAATAATAGTCATATCTATACGGAAAAATAGCTCCAGTGTAGTGCCGTATACTGAAGATTGAATTTTGGGTATGGCCTAGTATACAAAAAATGAAAATTGACATGAACCTCATTCGATTTGCCATCGAAAATTCATGTATCTATTCGAATTTTCACTTATATTTGGTCACATATTTTCAAAACCGTAATTCTTGAAAAATTGGGCTTGGTTCGGTTTTTCAAAATCTATCACTTCCAGAAAGTATTCAGGTCGAAACTAAGAGTACTAATTTGTTTTTGTTTGATTTGTTCGGTCAGAACTATTTACGGGAATGCGCAAAAAGTTCGCGGGTATGCTAAACGTGTTGAAAATACGTTAGCTACGGCACCAAAGAGAGCGAAAGAGAGCAATGGATTGTACACTGTTTTTGGTTTCAAGTCATTGTATGAAAACTCCGGAAAATTAGCGCTCTCCGTGAAATACGATATCAGCAATACATTTGACCCTGACAATAACAAATGCCATCGAAACAAACGTAGCGCACATAGTATCATCATCGCACACATCCTTTTGATTAGAAACTTTATTTACTATACGTTCACTGCTGCAAAAATGGTCGCGATAAACACATTTTAAAATATAAAGGACATTGAATTGCCACCCAATTTGCTATTCTCTATCACATTCTCTTTTCCGATATTTTACCGAAAAATGTTTGACTATTGTTTTGTTTTTTTTGTGTTTTTTTTGTTTTTGCACAAACACGCGCCTCACTTGCTTCTGATTGATTTGTTTAATGTTGCATTTCGACAATGTAAATTAGTTGATTAATGCAAATTGATTTTACGTTGATTGAAATACCAACAGCGTTTTCATTGGTGTGCATGTACTGCTTTTGCTGTATGAATATTGGCTGCCGATTCATGACACAAGTTTTCGTCTAGTCTAATCGAATTCTGCATCGTGCTTTCACTACAATGTCAATGAAACGAAGTACGCCGACTAACAGCACAAATGGAATTTTTCTATCCACATTCATATTAATTGCACAGACATGACAGCTTAATTTGAAGGATATTCTCTCCGGTTCAATTTTTGTGTTTGATTGATGATATTATTTGATCAGGTGTTCTATTTACGACTGTTGTTCTACTTGACTTGACTCCAATTGAATTTATTGAATTGTTCAATGAGATTAAACGTATCAGTTTGCTTAGCAAACAATTTCTAATCAAACTTATATTTAGTTAGAAAATATGTGAAAAAAACTCGAAATTACTTATGGCAAATAGCCACCAATCATGAAGAACACAGACACTCCGAATGCATAAACAAAATTTCGACAATACCGAATATAAGCTATTTCTTTCTTCTGTTATTTTCTTTTCAATCGGACAATAAAACACCACTATACGACATAACTGTTTGCATAAATTCGACTCATTCGAATAGAATGTTCTTTCATAATCTGTACAGCTTCTTTCCCGTTTTATTTTTTCGAAACAACAACAAAAACAGCAATACACACAATAAACAAAACATATACGATATTCTTAACACCCTTACCGTTAAAACCCGTAAAAATTCCGCGATTTTTCATCCAACTATGGCGAATAATAAATAAATACAAATTTAATTGTACTTTTGAATAAAAATAACAAAAAAAATTGGCAGTAAAAGTCAGTACACACAAATCGACTTTTTTCAAGTTAAATGAAAGCACTGCTTGGAAATTGTCTTCTGCGTGTGTGACGGATGAGATTTTTTGTGTTGCAGAGAAGAAGAAAAAAAAATTAGTCGCAGACAAAAAAGAGAGTGAGATGTCTGTATCCAAAACCATTTGACACTTTTTCATAGTTAGTTATTGGAATCGTGTTTAGATGTCGTTCTATATCAATTCAATGTAACCGTGTTGATTTTAGTTTGCAAATAATTACAACAAGATTGCTCCATTAAATTATTATGAAAATCATGTGGAAAATTAATTAAATTATTCAAGGTTGATAAATGTTTTGTTTGTGTATTTTCTCGTTTAATTTTCACTAAAAAGAATACACAATATTCATGGATGATGTGGAGAAGACGATTTTGTTTATGAATCGTGTAAACAAAGTGTTGCCATTGTTGTTGATAGCGCCGCCTGGACCGTTGACTACACTCGCACTGCTGTCAACTACATGATTCGGAGTATTTGTACGTTTGCGACAATAGACAATTTACCCAAATACAAAATATGCATCATCACCATAACCTTTAAATTGTTTCAGTGTAAATTTGATATTGCCGAAAACTTTATCACAAGATTTTTTCTCCGAAATTCAGTGCTTGTACAACATAAATAAATTTAAACAACAAAATCACATTCAAATATTAAGCTGGGCTTATTTTCTATCGTTTGAGGTATAGTATTTTCAATGGAATTGTGATAATAATACTTTATAGTTTTTTCTTCTAACATTGATTCTTTCTTTCGTTGTTTCGAATGACGGACATCGAGATTGTTGTAGTGAGACTTTTATAATGAAAATTATTTCATTTTTTTTTTCAAATTCATTCTGTTCAAATGTTTGTGATTTGTAATGTATCAATTTTCATATAAATTGTACAACCAAATGACAGAACCTAGATCCGAAAATGTCGGCAAACCACGAAAACAGCAAAGAGAAAGTGGAAGGTTCGGTTGCAGCTGAGAAAGCGGCTAACGATGCCAACAAAGAAGAGGAAAAATCAGATTTGGTAAGTAAATGTTGAGAAAATCCGGAAAAAAGTATTACCACTCGATATAACATTTGAAATAATTCTACAAATTATTAATCATATTATATTTTAGTCTGATGAGGATAAGCAACTGCAAGAGGAGCTGAGAATGTTGGTGGAACGATTACAAGAACCAAAAACGGAATTGTATTTACCAGCATTGGAAACGATGCGCAGTTTGATCCGAGCATCGACCACATCGATGACATCGGTGCCGAAACCATTGAAATTCATGCGACCGTACTACGAGCCAATGAAAGAGGTCTATAAACATATGCCAGACATAGTAACACGTCAAACGTGTGCCGACATTATCTCAGTGCTGGCAATGACCATGGGAACGGGAAAAGAATGTTTGGTGTATCGATTTTTGTGTGATCAAAATGATCGCATCGGTGACTGGGGCCACGAGTACGTGCGTCATTTATCAGGCCAAATATCCACGCATTGGAATGAAACGTCAGGCAATTTCCGGAATCGCTTGATTGATTTGGTCAAACAAATCGTTCCGTACAACATGGCACACAATGCCGAAGCTGAAGCATGTGATTCGCTCATCGAAATCGAGCGCCTTGATCTACTAGAGGATTATGTTGATGAAAGCTCATACGAACGGGTTTGCTTGTATCTTCAAGGCTGTGTTCCATACGTTGCCGATCCAGAAAATGTCACGCTGTTGCGCACCGCTTTGAATTTGTCGCGCAAATTTAATCAGTACACGCAGGCAATGCGATTGGCATTGATGCTTAACGATATGACATTGATCCGGCAAATTTTCACCGAGTGCAAAGATTCGGCCATCCAAAAGCAATTGGCTTACATGTTGGGTCGGCAACAGATTTGCTTGGAAATCCGTGAAAACGGCGACGGAAGCACTGATGATGAAGAACTTATGGAAATCATGTCCAATTCTCATTTGAACACGCATTTCTTGAACTTGGCTCGTGAATTGGATATTATGGAACCGAAAACACCGGAAGATGTGTATAAATCACATTTGGAGAATTCACGCACCACGTTTGGCTCATCACAGGTCGATTCAGCCCGACAAAATCTAGCCGCCAGTTTTGTGAATGGTTTCGTTAACGCTGGCTTCGGTCAAGACAAACTACTGATGGAAGATGGCAATAAATGGCTGTATAAGAACAAAGAGCATGGAATGATGAGTGCAACTGCATCTCTTGGATTGATTTTATTGTGGGATGTCGATGGTGGCTTAACTCCAATTGATAAGTATCTGTATTCAGCCGAAGATCATATCAAATCAGGTGCTTTGCTTGCCTGCGGTATTGTAAACTGCGGCGTTCGTAATGAAGTCGATCCCGCTCTTGCTTTGCTCACTGACTACGTTCATCATACGAACAGTACGATGCGTATCGGTGCCATTTTGGGACTGGGTCTGGCCTACGCTGGATCAAATCGTTCAGCTGTTATCGAACTCTTGACTCCAGTTCTTGCAGGTGAGTGGAGAGAAAAATGAGTGCAAAAGATCAAATTAAAAAATCTTTTCGTTTTCAACATAGGTGAAAAGAAAGTGGCCCCAACTCCCGAAGTGTTGGGAATCACCGCACTGTCGCTTGGAATGATTGCCGTCGGCTCATGTAATGCTGAGGTGACTGGAACTTTATTGCAAGTTATTATGGAGCGTAGTGAGTCGGAATTGAAGGATACATATGCCAGATTTTTACCACTCGGTCTGGGCTTGGTGTATTTGGCACGTCAAGAAGCTGCTGAGGCTGTTATCGCTGCTCTTGAAGTCATTTCAGAGCCATTCCGATCAATGGCAACCACAATGGTAGAAATTTGTGCGTATGCCGGCACCGGAAACGTCTTAAAGGTACAGCAACTACTCCACATTTGCTCGGAGCATTATGAAAATACCAATGAGAAATCTGATGATTCGAAAGATAAAAAAGATAAGGACAAGGATAAGGATAAGGAAGCAGCCGCTCAAAAGGAGAAAGAAGACCGAGAGAAGGACCTTTCATCTACACAGGCAATTGCTGTTATTGGTATTGCATTGATTGCAATGGGCGAAGAAATTGGCGCTGAAATGGCATTCCGTTCATTTGGAAATCTTCTTCGCTACTGTGAGCCAGTCATCCGTCGATCAGTGCCGCTCGCTCTTGGTTTGCTGTCGGTTTCGAATCCAAAACTCAATATCTTAGATACATTGAGTAAATTTTCCCATGACAGCGATGCCGAAGTCGCCCACAATTCAATCTTTGCCATGGGCTTAGTCGGAGCTGGTACGAACAATGCACGTTTGGCATCAATGTTACGACAGTTAGCACAGTATCACGCGAAAGATCCAAATAATCTGTTTATGGTGCGAATCGCACAAGGTTTAACACATCTTGGCAAAGGAACACTTACTCTCAGTCCATACCACAGCGATCGTCAGCTCATGTGTCCGGTTGCTGTGGCAGGTTTGCTGGCAACACTCGTCTCATTCTTAGACGTTAAAAACAGTAAGTGACCAGTTTGGAATTTGCTCGAATGCAATGTGATTTTTTCTTTGAATATTCATTTCTAATGTAATTCTGCTTTTTTTTCATGCAGTAATTTTGGGCCGTTCGCATTATTTGTTGTATACGCTGGCAACAGCCATGCAACCACGTATGTTGATCACATTCGATGAGGATTTGAACCCATTGACTGTTCCGGTACGCGTTGGTATTGCGGTTGATGTCGTTGGACAGGCTGGTAAACCCAAAACGATCACTGGCTTCCAAACTCACACTACACCCGTTCTATTAGCAATGGGCGAACGCGCTGAACTTGCTACCGAAGAATATATCTCGCTAACACCAATCATGGAAGGCTTCGTGGTCCTTCGCAAAAATCCCAATTACACGGCATAAATAGCAGCATGATAGCGTTTAACGAATTGAATCCGTGTTCTAATTATGTTAATTCGAGCGATTATTAATCCTACTTTTTTCATGTAAAACAAACATTAAGTTGTGCATTCAAAAATAAAACCCAAACATTTAATTAAAGAATGCATTTTGCCTTTACTTTTCATCCAATAGCGTTTTGTTACATTTAATCAGTCAAGGCTAGCTTAGAATATACGACTTAATATCAAAACTTCCTCTTTTTTTGTTAATTTGTTTCTTTTTGATATTTCATTTATTTTAGGTCTAATCACTGTTTGACTTGCAAACTGGCATTGTTTGCTGCATCCATCTTTTTTCCCTTGTTCTTTTGATTTCAGGATATATTTCGTTTAGAGATTATACAGAATTTCATGAATTTGTTAGGAATAAATTATTGTTCCATTAACTTTATAATGTTATTAAAATTAGATAAAAAAAAGTTGATTTTGGTATATTTCATCAATTTTATCAGTTGATTGCCAATCGACATACAACACGTGTATAGCTCTTTATTACTTTCGGGCTTTTTGACGAGCAAGTGACATTTCTTTTAATTTTTGTTCAAGCCGAGAGTGTGCATCCTTTTGTTCGTTGCGACGTAAAGCTGCCGATATTGGGAGAGTTGGACGTGGTTTAAGGAACTCGTTACGTTGCTCCTTTTTAATAGCACCTCCACATCCATGGATCTCAGGCAGTTGGTGTTTCATGCAAAAACGTTGCTGACAAAGTGTACAATCTTGGCCAATCAATGATGTTTTCGTTCGACAGCGTCCAAAATCACATGTATTGTCCAATTGACGAACAGTTTTCAGCACCTCATCAAGTTTTGTATTCACCGTCTCCGGTGAAATTTCCGAAAGCATTTCACTTGTTTTGTTCACTTTCTTCGCAGGTTTCGATGCATTTCTAGACGCTGCACTGGCTTCGTACGCATTCGCCGTTGCCGATGAAGCCGCATTTGTCTCCTGTTTTTTGCGATTTTGGTTCTTGGGTCCATTGCTAGAGTTCTTTGAAATCACAGTAGATTTGGTATTATTTTCACTACGCGTGCCATTTGGTACACCAACTGGCCCCTGCGCCATGGCGTTAGTTTTCGTTTTGCCGGATTTTTTCTTTGTTTGTTGTTCGGCTAAAACATATTACAAAAAATACACAATGGAAAATACAATTTTATTATATTGCAAACACATCACACCATTGCCGAAGGACAAATGGCTTTCGATTGGAACATTGAAATTTTTTGCATGTATTTTGGAAAAGAAAATTATGTTTAGCCTCGTTTTACCCATTTGAGCTATTCTTCGAAACCTGAATTCAAGTGGTTGTATTATCTGTATTAATTTAGTATATTTAGATTCTAATAATTTTGGTTCGTTTTTCTCTATTTCTGTACTCTACGATTCAGTTTCATTCATTGCTGAATTGCAATAAAATTGTTTGCTATCGAATGACAGGTATTGTTATTGTTGTCTTCTCGAGCGAACGATTCAAGAGGTCGCTATAGAAACATTCCGATGTACAATTGCCTCAAAATTCATGACTTTTTTGCGACACCACAGTACAACTGCAATACCGACTTTAGTCGAATAATGATTAAAATCCAATGGATATTTTGTGCCAAATTAAAAAATTACGTCGTAATTTTTTATAAATAAATTGATAAAACAGTTCTCCATAAAATCATGAATGAAATAAAAAATAGTTCAGCTCAATATGTTATTTAATAAGAAATTGAGGTAACAGCGCCAACTTGTCATCATTGAAAGTATCGACAAATCGAAACTTCCAATCGGAGCGTCTTTCATAATAATCGAAATGGCGACTATTTTCAATCGAATTGAAATCTGTTCGTTGAGGGCGCTGTCAAACTTATTTGGGAATGAATTGGTAGTGATTTTTTTTTGTGTATGTTGCGCTCACACGATCATCAACCTGCGATAAACTATATCTGGCGATATTGGATGAATTTATTGAAAGATGTGTCAAACGAATAAATATTCAGTGGTTATTGAGTAAAAATAAAATTGAAAAGAGACTAAAATCTAAATTGAATTTGAGATCACAAGTTGAAAATCATTTGTTTGTACATCATTGTCGATCTGCCTATTTGTATTTTGTGTAAACTTGATTTCGTTCACATACACCACGAAACGAGCGATCAATAGGATCGGAATTTGTGAAACAAAAGCCCAATCGGAAAATGACTGAAATGAACTGAGATTGCAGTGAAACCGTGCGAAATTTGATTTATTGTCATTTTCAACAAAACAATTGGCTGTTTGGATTATTGAATTGATCGAAAAAAAGGTGAAATTATCGAAAACAAGCACAAACGGCGTGCATGTGTATGTGTGAACTGTCACCATTTACGGGTTCAACAGGTTAGTGTGATTTACTGTATGTTTCGCTCATTGAATGCATGTGTATGAGTGTTGTGCGTGCATTTTTCAATAATTGTGTGCTCTTTCGTTCCATGAACGTTTGTGCAATATTTGCTGTTTTTCATGATTTGCGGATGAAAATTTGAAGAGTTTCGTGCAGAATTTTCGATAAATCAACCTAAATTAATTCAGTTGGAATTTTTGATATCACCAAAATATGGATCGAATTGATGGGTGCGTTAGCTGAGTGTCATTGTATTTGTGTGATTTGCTATGGTTCGAAAGGAAGTGTGCCGTAGTGTCTTGAGACATGACGCACAAAGAGCGTAATTCTGGAAGCAATTCAAGCACAGAGCTTTTTTCGGGCATTTTTGTATTCGAACAAAAGAGATGTGTTACTGAATTTGGCGTTTTGTATATTTCCTGTATTTCTACCCATCATTCATTTGTTTTAATATAATTTTCCATCTGCAATATCTGTAAAATTTGATTTGTTTGTGTAGTGCACGTGAATAAAATAATAATTCGTTTATTTTCTTTTTTTTCACCCGTAGCTAAAATTGATGGGTTGATGCCGACTGTGACAGCAAAATGACTGAAGATGATGTTTGGACAACACGCTGTAATCAGTATTTGGTGATTTGTGTATGGGATAGAATTCATACTAATTGCTGATGTTCCGTCACTTTCGTACCGTGGAAAATATATAAAAATCTGACGAATAAATTGTCGAATCTCAGCTTCACCGAATTGGTTTCGAAAACGTGCCGAACAAAATGTCATCCAATGTAACAAATGAGCAACCGATGTCGAAAAGACAAAAAATCGATGCAGCTGAAAATAAGAAAGGCACCTTTTGTGCTATATCCAGTGGCACCGATATGATCAGTGACAGTAATACGCCGCCAGATATCTTGCCAATGACAAAACATGAACACAAACGTACTACGAATGGAAGTCCAAACTGTAGCGATTCAAGCAAATCGATATCTACAACGCCAGTGAGAGGGTCACCGCCGGAATCGCCCAGCGATGAATTAGATAATGCGGCCATATGCAACGCAATTAAATCTATTGAGCAAAAAATCGATTTGTCGACTGAAAATGGTAGTCATTGTATTACCGAATTTCCAGACCTGTTAAAAACGTCGCCCGATGTTGCCTCCACGTCACGGTCACACGAGATGCTTGCCTCAACAGCGGCGCCTGATTGCAGCAGGAGGAACAGTTCCACCAACACACATGAGACTTCATCTAGATTAGGCAGTAGAGATAGTAATAGTTTTAGTCGTTTGAATAACGTAGATGAATTCCAGTTATTTTTAATGAAACAGTGCCTTTGCGACATTGACGAGCAATCGTTGCGTCGCCCGTTCGCAACACTTTACTATCGCGATATGAACGGCCGAAAATACAATGTACCGCTGAAGGAATGGCCAAATCATCAACTCATCCAATTTCTATCGAATATGGAGCTTCTGTTTGAAGTGTATCTGAATCAAAATGCAAAAGGCGACATTTGTACGCGAGTGATGCAAGTTTGCGATGCACTGCTGCTGAAAGAAGAGATTATCCACGCCATTTTTGAACTTGACGAGTATAATAATAAATTCGTTCAGTATCTGGCGATCAAAGTTTTGGCTAACTGCTTGTTGATCGTCAAAGATAAGGAGATCTACTGTGAGGAACTTCTAACGACTCTAATGAGCAATTTGGTTACTCATCATGAGCCAACTGATCACAGAGCACTTGGAAAAGTGTCCTTTACTTTGGGCATAATACTCCATATCATGGAATGGAAGGATATCAAAAAGCATCCACTCGATGGTCAAATCATAATCAATGGTCGTGAAGTATACAACGACAGTGACAATGAATCTTATTCACTTCCCGCCAACACACCACAAATTCAAGACAATTACTTTGCCGTGCTCCATGGTGACGATGAAACCGAAACACCACTTGCACCCACACCTCCGGCCGAATCACTGCATATGGTGGGCGATCACCAAAACAGAGAGCACGACCGTCAATCCAACACATCACAAGGATCAAATGATCCACGAAACTTTTCTTGCCACATGCAACATCTCTCAGATTCGGAAAGCTTTGATTCAAACCAACTTAAGGTGTCCATTCTCGTTCGGCTGAAGCCTAAATGGACTCTTCTTGTTCAAAACATGGCCAAATGCGTTACACTGTTGCAGTCAAATCGCAACCTGAACTATATCGAAAATACGATAACCACCTTTTTAACGTTATGGGAACGAATCATAAGCGTTGACACATGCATCGAGTATGATCAAACGCTTCCATTCCACAAATATCTAACGAAGTTCACAGATATTTTGATAGATGGCAAGTTGCCCATACAAATCTACAAACAAATGTTGACATTATTCAGTGCATCACTGTGTTACACAACAACATTGGCTTTGCAACCAGAGGTGCCAGCCGAAACAAACGACTTGGCCACTCAACTGTTTAGTAGTGTGAGAGAGAGTAGAAGGAATATCTTTATGTCGTTACCAACACATGAAATCGAACCGCAAAACAATATCAGCTTCATTGGCTACAAACATTCGACTATCGTCTACGAAATATCATCTGATCTGCTGAGCGCGCAGAATGCACAGAATGACGAAAGATCTGATGACGATAGCGACGAAGATTCCGATATTGAGTTAGAGTTGAACGAGCATTTTAATAAATCGATAGATTCTACGCTTCTACAGAAGTTAGTTCTGTTGGTATTGAAGGCGATTGCGGTGACCGTTCGGCCAATCGGAGGTGGTGACTCATCGGACAGCTCAATGGATAGTGTCAGTAGCAATAACAGCAGCGTTGAAACCGCTGAACACGACTGGTCGTTTATTGAGCATGCAACGCGAGACGCGATTGAAAAATTACAAATTTTTCTACGAAACAAATTGAATTTCCACCCCGAAACACATTTGAGCAAAGTTATTGTACACCTGTTCAGTAATCAAGATGATTATTTGCTTGAGGCGATGCTCTGTATGTTGGGCACAACCATCGCCTTTCTGCCACGCCAGTTACCATTTGGCAATGCGGCCAACCGACAAGCAAACAGCGCCGGCAATGATCGGCCACAATTCCGAATGCTCATCGAAATGATCAGTCCAGTGTACACATTTCTTGAATTTCTAGAAATTATCGAATACGGAATGGAAACGATGCTCGACCTATTACTCACCGATGAGACCTGTTTTCTTCTCTATTTTCTGCGCTTCCTGAAATATATTCGCAGCGATTGGACAATGTTCCAGAGCCAGTGCAACAGATGGCAGAGCTCGTCCAATGCAATGCGAACCAACAGCCATTCCGATCAGCAACCATACAAACGAGTAATGGACGTTCTGATTTCGCTGCGCTTGAAATTGGACCGTTTAGTATTCCAGAGAATATTCCCTTACGAAATTGCACCACTGCTTTTGTTGATGCGTCAATGCGAAAGTCTTTACGAAGGAAACTACGGACTATTCTAATTATATATTTGAAATCAAAATCAACAAATTATTTAGTAAAACCAGAAATGAACCAAGATTTTGTCTATTCTGCTCCTGAATGTATATTTATATTTGATTTTAAATGAATCTTTAAACGTAGAACCGCAAATTCAAGTAAAACAATCAAAACCGGAACTAAACCGAAAAAAAACCGTCTGCGACTAGGGACTAAATCGAAATGAGATTTTCAATCGTTATAGCAAAATAAAATGTTAGACACATTTTCACCGCACGTACTTAATTGACGATAGTGTATGTTTACAATTTTTAATAAAACGAGATTTTTTCAATAATTTATGGTAAATATCCCAAGGGTTTTTTTTCTTTACGTTTCGCTCAATTTTCAGCTCCAATTATTAGTGGCAAAAAATAATTACGAATATATGAATATGTTTCGCATGGCAACTTTGAAATGTTGAAAAATGTCTATGAATTGGTACTTTCCTTTCTTCTAATTTTCTATTAGACCTCACTTATTGTTCAAAAAACTGCCAGATACACCGAATTGCGTCAAAAGTACATTGAGTTTAAGGATGACATCAACGGACGCCTCCCAATACAGTTTGAGTGATGAATCTTTGACTCCTCGATTATTAAATAAATGATATTCCTTTGGTATGAAAATGAAAACAGAAGAATCATTCTTTATACCGATTTATTTATCTTTTTTTATTTTACATTCCATGGAATTCCAACAAAAAATTAAATGTGAAACAAAAAACGTATCGCCAAATTATTCATAAATTTGCACGAATAAATGCCTATGGATTAACAGTTTGACAGTTTAATACCGAAATGTATATTTAGATCTGTTCAGAATGCTTTCGTTCTATTGAATTAATTGGAATGACAAAAATTAAAACTGGCTGTTATTTGACGCAGTTATTTGATATTGGAGATGCTTAATTCAAAGCGGCTGCACCCGAGATAATTTCAATCAATTCACGAGTGATGACAGCCTGTCGAGTACGGTTGAATGTCAATGTAAGTTTATCAATCATTTCACCGGCATTCTTCGAAGCATTGTCCATGGCTGTCATACGTGATGATTGTTCGGAACAAGCGCTTTCTTTCATCGTATAGTAAATGAGCGATGCCAATGAATATTCCAAATAGTCGTTCAACACATCGGAATCGAGTGAATCGTAAACGGCAATATTTTCCGACGATTCAACGGCTTTAACGCTGAAAATTGGTATGGTGGAGCAGCTGTACGAAACGACACTCTTGAATTTGTTATAAACAATTGAGCCGTGCGAAAAGTCAAAGTTCGATTGCAAAATGTTCTTGGCTACTCCAGATGCGTCTAAGAAAGTTGGTGGTGTACGGCCGATTTCGTTGGCAACGAACACAAATTTATCGGCGAACAAACGTTGCAAAATGGCTCGCGATTTATCGCCAACGCATGCAATTTTCGTGTTCTCGGTACTTCCAGTACGCGATTGAAGATCGTTACGAATGGAACGGGCAACACCAGTGTGCACAGCACCACACAAACCTAAAAAAATATCGCAAACACACAGTCAAGGAGTGAATTTTTCTGTGAAAGACGTTGAAAAAAATGTCGTTGTATATAAAGTACCTCGATCGGATGTGATTGCAACCAAAAGTTCCTTTGCATTGTCTGTTGGTGCCTTGACTTCAGCTACTTCGTAGAACTTCTTTGCGCCTTCACCGAATGGACGAGCTTGTTTCAGATCACGTTCAGCGCGGGCGTATCTGTCAAATGAAATCAGTATCAATAAGGGAATCTCGAGTCACTCACATACAACAAAATCCACGTCCACCTACTTAGCGGCTGACACCATCTTCATGGATTGGGTGATTTTCTGGATATTTTTCACCGACTTCAAGCGCATGGAAATTGCTTTCAAAGTGGCCATGTTACGGCTCTGCTGAGCGTACAAACTATTTGCAATGATGGCATTGACTGCTGGAGCAGCACCAGTGACTTTTTGCATCCACATCTACAAATAAAAAAAGAATGAATTATTCACATTCGTTGTATTTTCAGCGGCTTGAATTGACTTCGATTCCAAAATTCCAATTAGTCTCTTTTGGTCAATGCTCTGGGGTCGATGTTTTTTTTCTCTCATCGGCATTGCTTATATCACACACTCGAGACATGATTCTACGATTTCATTTTGACGAATCCAAATTGAGTGAATAAAATTTTTTAATCGCTTTACTTACCATTTTCGATGGTTATCGTTCCAATGTCGGAATGTTAAATCGACTTAAAATCTAAAAAGAAATTACTGTTCTTTGAATGTTTGACGAAAATGTGTGTATGCGAGAAAAATTCTCTATCGCAGCAAAAGTATTATGTAAAAGGCAAAATGTCACTTGGCCCGACATACGATTTGCCGATGATAGATCTAGTACTGCAGTGTGTTTTAAGCAGTCGTTGATGCACATTTAACTCCAATGAATGAATGAAATGCGTTTTCGATAAGGTGAATCAAAATAAAATTTTGTTTATTTATTTTTAGAGAATTTTCTAGTAAAAACCGATAATTGGATATTTTCTCAACAAGCAAATTTCGTGCTAAAATCCACATTGAATAGAAAATGTGTAGTAGAACCATCATCACGAGATAATTCTGACAGACGGCAACGCATGCGCCATAGTGGTAAAAAAAGAAAATGAATGATATGTCAAAACATTCAAACGAAAAGAGAATAAGAATTAAAAGAGAAAATAATGCAAGATAACACAAACCATCATAATTGATTACAGCGATTTACATTACTCATAAAACTTATTCAATAAGTTCAGCATTTGAATGGTGGTTCAATTGTCTTGTGGCTTTCATCAGGCTTCCCAATGATTTATGCTAGGAATTGATCGTTTTTATGTTGTTATTTTATTTTAAACGCACCGTTTGCAAGTGAATTCTTCAGTTAACTGCTTGAAAAAAGATTGTGTCATTTTGTTTTTGTGACCGTGAATTTGATTTTTTACGTTCTTTCGCTACACATTTTGCACATTGCATCGAAAAAGAAGAAAGAAACAACGCAAAATTGCACTGCACTAGGCTGTAATTTGTGCTATTTTATAGTTGAGCAAAAGCGAAAAAAAACATTCATCATTACTCTGTTTAATTAGGGTGTTTCGATGTTGATATTTTTGATTTTTCCACTGATGCAAATGCAGATTAGCATGTGAAAATAGTTCGCGTCATCTATTTGCGTTAATAAATCTAGAGTAGCAATAGGCTAAATTATTTTCGTCAATTTTTTGTTTTATGTGAGAACGATGCGTTGCGATGGTACGGCTTATGAAGACTTGACACCACGTAAGTAAAATGCACTTTCTTTTTATTTTGTTTTGTTTTTTTAACTCTTCATTTTGCATGCGAAATCCGCCCATTTCATTAGTTTTTTGCGGTGCCAAAGTTACATTTCTCTGCCAACAATTTTAGTTTTAAATCAAAATCAAGTATCATAACAAACCTCTACCATATGAAATGGATACTTGCAACGCAAAATGTCGTGCATTTTTCAGGTTGCATATGCATATGAAGTGTAATAACTTCCACCAATTTGTGCATTAGTTCAAAAAGTACAGCTCGTCATCAAATAATCTTGATGACAGCCGATTTCATGGAAACCTCATGTGATACAATGTAGATATCTGGTTATTCAAATAATCAAACCGGTGGTCGTTGCGGAGCTAATCTATATTAGAATCATCATTTTATCAGAACACTTTCGAGATACAGAAAATACATTTCGACCCGAAATTATTGTTGATGACGTCTCATTTTCGACAGACATCGGCTCACTTGTATGGCTTGATTCATTCAATGACGTCAAAGTATAATGATACGTTTACAATGTTGCTCATTTTTTACGGCATTCAGACTAACCAAAAAAAACAGCATAAATTTCATCTTTTTATTTTCTGATGACAGACATTTTCAGTATAATTTGTTTACATTTTCATGAGATCGTTCTTTAAATTGATTGCCATGTGCAAATCAACTTCAACATGATTTAGCTTTGACCAATAGGAAGTACAGATGTAGTTGTTTCCTGAGAATCAATACATTTTTTTCAGCATACACTTACGAGATAAATACGCTTATCTCTACCCCGTCTCTCTCTCTCTCTCTCTCTCTCTCTCTCTCTCTCTCTCTCTCTCTTTCTCTCTCTCTCTCTCTCTCTCTCTCTCTCTCTCTCTCTCTATTCTATACCGACAATATTTATGACTGATTCTTGTATTTTGGAATGCCTTTGAAGTTCTATTAACTTATAATCGCATCTATTGAGTGAGAAATTCAATTTCGCAGAATGTATACTCATCTCAGGCACATTTGTTCTTGGCTCATGGTGTTTGACGGTTCTTCATATGTATGGAGCAAATTTGCTCTTTAAATATTTTTTTTTCAAACGGTGGCACTAAATAAGGGGTAACGTAACTTTGGGTAGTAATATTATATCTGCTTTAGCGTATGCAGATGATCTGGTTCTGTTTGGCAGTTCTGAACAAGAATTGCAAAACAGTATCAGTGACCTAGAAACGGCTTTTACAAACTTTGGCATGACCATTAGTAGCTCAAAGGCCCAAGCTATGCATGTGGGAAAGAATCGAAAGTCAATTAATTGTGTTTTGAATGGTAGTGTGCTCGAACAAGTGTCAGAGTTTAAATGTCTAGGGTGTGTTTTCTCAGAAGATGGGAAATTCAACAAGGAATTTGAACATCGGAGAGTGAATGGTAATAAGGTAGTTGCACAGCTTAGATCGCATGTATTTAATAAGCGTGAATTGAATGAAGAGACTAAGTTGATGATCCATCGGTCAATCTTCAGACCAACTGTCTTGTATGGAAGTGAGAGCTGGGTCGATTGTAATAACTTAAGCCATGATCTTGAGGTATCTGATATGAAAGTGTTGCGTATGATTTCTGGAGTGTCGCGTAGAGACCAGTGGGAGAATAGAATTGGGAATGGAGAATTCGCGAGGGTTTGAGTGTTGATTCGATTGATGAGGCTGCAAGAAAGTCGAGATTGAGATGGTTTGGTCATGAAGAGCGTATGAATGAGTCTCGTTTACCCAATTTAATTTTGAATGCTAAAGCGAATGGTCCGAAAGGTAGAGGTAGACCTCGAAGAAGGTATCTGGATTCTGTTAAATGTGATTTGAATGAAGGAGGATATGAATGGAATAGAGAAACTCAGGACCTTGCTCTCGATAGAGTGTATTGGAGAAGAAATGTTGATAGAGGAGAAGTGAGGTCATCATCACGAAATAGCAGTGAAGAACCAATTAGCTGGCTGATTAGCCGCACAAGTGTATACTGGCTAACGAATGTGTAGACCAGTGAGAAAACTTCAGTAAGAACTGAACGCACTCATCTTAACTGACGTTTGTGATTGACATTTAAATCACCAGGTCAGAGTTCAAATGAAACCAAACATCGACATTTTTTATTAAGTTTTTGAAAAAAAAAAATAACTCAAATTATAAAAATGACTTTTAAATTGAAAATTAATTGAAAAATATTAATTTTTTTCAAGATTTGTATGATTTGAATCAGAATACACAAATCGAAAATTATTATACTTTGAATGTACTCATTTCACACAGATAGCTGGCTAACGATTGGCTTACACCAGTTGTTGGTGTAAGCCAAGGCTAAGCTAACGATGACTAGGAACTAAGACAATGCTGGCTAGCGAAAAACCATCACTGCGAAATAGACCAGATGCCGCAAGGCATTAATGGTCTTTAAATGCTTGTTGTTGTTGTTGTTGTTGCACTAAAATCTGAAATACCGAAAGAAAACTGTTGGCAAAAACCTTTGTGAAAAAGAGTGTTTAGTCGCAGCTACCGGCGAATTTTTAATACAAATGTCAGCGTTTTAAGCTTTTTTGCATAGCTGACAAATGTTCGTGATATTCATAACACCCATGTCAACATGCACAAGCACATATCGTTATGAAAAAAAAACGAATGTGCTGTGAAAGCATGTGAAGAGGTAATTTTTTCCAATTAGATGCAAACGTCTTTCAATCTCGTCTGAACCAATTAGAAATAGGAAATGCTGCATAGCAGCAAGAGAACATCAAAGTTGTAGCTCAAATGAATATCAAAACGGACAGTCAAATGTACAATGTTTCCAATGGTGTCGACTTTGGAAAAGTCATAAAGCATTAACCAACTTGGCAAACGAAAGCGAAGCAAACCGTTGGCCAAGCTGATAAGGTGTGGCATACGTGTCGTAGTTTTGCCACAGTATCACTTTGTGTCAGTTTTAAATACCGCAGGAAAAGGTGTGTCGTTACCGTTTAGTTTGCTGATCGCACAGTTTTTCCAATTTCCGTGCACAGATTTGTGTAATGGACAGTGAAATGTAGGTGGTTAGCTAATGCATGTTGGCGCTTTTTTCCCTTTATTTTCGCAATTTTTGGAACGAATAGTCCGGAAAGACAGCCCAAAAGCACAGCGAAGGTCGGGATGATTTGAAAACCATAATATCATTGCTAGTATTTTCATTACTTTCGTACACGCGATTGAATCATCTATTGACAATGTGACCACATTGCGGCCGGCTACATCCACATAAGCTAACGTGAATGGCAAACAGCTTAGGTTCTGTTTGTTACGTCAGCCGAATACAAAAAAAAATAAAAGCACTATTAGTCTAATTGTCTTCGGAAATGTGAATGTCAACTAAAATCACGAAATCATGCAGACAATCAATTTAATTTTCATTTCGATATTCATCGCTTGTCCGTCGAAGGGCCATCAAGTGAATCATTCACAAAATTGATTGGATAATCGGGACAAAACTTCATATGAAGTTATGTCGAGGGGCTCATTTGTCGTCGTGATTCAGAAAATAGTCGCATAATTTCTGTGTAGACTCGTACAACCAGCTAACATGTCAAAATTGTATGTACACAATTTCAAATAGTTTGGTTCAGTGGTTCGTGAATCCATATGGTCAATTCTACGGCGTACAAGTAACGTTACCAGTGCACTGCATTTGCTCCACTAGCATAGAAAATATCAAAAAACTATCAAAGCATAAAAAGTAGCTCTAGATGTGTTTTATTATTCGCAAATAGAAAAATAGTGAATTTCTTTGATTTATGTAGAAATATGAGCGTTCAAGTTGAGAGATGACAAAAAAATGTATGAAAACGTACGAATTTTGAACCACTCAACTAATTTGCCCATATCTCCAAACAAATAAAAAAAACTCACGAGTTTATTATTTGCGAATGATCGTACTCATGTTCAGCTACATTTTATACATCGAAAGTTTTTTGATATCTTTCATAATAGCGGAGATTTAAACATATACAGTCCACTGGTAACGTTACAGGTCCGTAGAATTGACCATATGAAAGACTCTCAAGTCTTCACACATATTCACAAGACTACTACGGATGCCTATGTTTATTCGACAGACTTGTGAGACTTGCACTGAATCGCGTGACAATCAAGCCCCTAGAGTTATGTGAGCTATATCTGTTTAAATGAACTGATAAAGATAGAAATTGGTTGAATGTGGTTGCAAACGGCGATGAAACTTTCAAGTCATCATATGCCATGATAAGCTGGAAATGGTATTTTCCAAATGAAAATGTCAACGTAACAGTAAAAAAAAAGTGGAATAACTTGAAAAAAACTACTGCCGATTTTTGTTACATTTTTAGCACCATTCCGAGTGTTCTATTCCAGAAAATAATACCGTTCTAACTTTGTATCCATCTTTTGATATTCAGCGTGTAATGAAACTCGTCTATAGCGGTATACATATACATGAATTTTATGATGCAGCTGTAAAAATGAAACACAATAATGATTTTCCCAGAGCACTTTTCAATGACAATATCTTTGCGAAAGAGACTATTCAGCAAGAGCATGATACGATTACACCACAGTTGATAGTTCGAAAGTGTTTCATCTTCAAATTAAACTTTAAGTTATCATTGTTTGCTTTGATTGTTCAGTCGCAGAGAATGTAATATACAATTTTTTGAGCGGTGCTGCCAATGCAAAACGAAAAAAAATGATCAAAGTATACGAGAAAAAAAATCCACCCCAATGACAATTTGTATTGATGGCTTCTCTAGAACTACAAGTAAGAAATGAGTTGTGCTGAATTGTTGACATTTGCTGTTAAACAGACGCTAACGGGAAATGTTTTTCGAATAGAACTGGTGATTATGAGTTTCAGTGCGGTCGTGTGTGTGTGTGTGTGTATTTATCTAGTTACTTGCTTGGTCGAATAAATTCTACAATAGCTAAGCGGTTCATTAAAGTGAATGCTCAAGTTTTTCT